ATATGTTAGAATAGATCTGTAGCAAGTTGTTTCTGGATGGTAAGTCAACAAGTAAACACTTGTCTTTTCTAGCAGCCATTGTACAAAGCACACAGCGGTATTTCAAAAGTTTCAAAAGTCAAAGATTTTTTAATTTTGAAACTGAAATTTTCAAGCTTTCCAGAGAAAATTTCTCAAGCTTTTTCTAGCAAATTTTCAACTTTTCAAATTCTGAAATTTCCTCCTCCTTTTTTTCCTCTATGATGGCAGTAATATGCCATCATATTACAGTAGTTGTACAGTAGGGAGTCAAATGGAAGCAGAAAAAAGTGCAAAATGGAAATTTTGTATAATATATCACATTTAAGACTGAACAGAAGTACACAGTGACTTGCATTCCCCTGTTATTTCTAAAGTCCCAAGAGGAAAGAACTAACGTTTTTTTTTTTTCTCATCCTTTTCCACGTGACCAAAATCAACACATCAGGGACTGACTTTTTCATAACAAATATCTGCAAAGTGAATTATAAGTTTGAGTGATCCAGATGGAACTTCATGTTCTGGATGTGCTGCTGTAACCAAGCGAGCAAAGTCAAAAACAAATGTGTGACAAACAGTTCTAAGTACAGCTCCCAGCGGGCCGGTGCTGAGCTCTGCTTCGAAATGTAATTAGATCCTGTTTTCTCCTGGCTCATCTGTACCCTCCCTCTGTTCTTTAACGCTGCTTAGGTGTGAAGTCATGTAAACTGTGGCAGTCAGCAGAAAGAGAGAGATTAAGAGACAGTGGACAGAGAAAAAGTCAAGATTGGACACAGAAGCCGATTTTAATCCAGCCTGCAGTTGTTGTCGTCCGCTGAGTGCTGTGGGAGAATGTCTGCAAAGACTGAGCTGCATTTCCGACTGGATGGCCAGCTGACAGAGGTGATGCGCCTGCGGGTCCAGTCCCTGCAGCAGCGCCGCCAGAAGCGACAGGAGGGCGAGCGCTTGCTGCAGCCCAACGAGGCTGTGTACCGGCTGGACTTCTCCAAGCAGTCGCTTCGCTTCTCCCACTGGACGGTGCGGCTGGCGCAACCTGGGCGCCTCACCATCATAGCCATCTCGCAGCTCTGGACGCCGGACCTCACCAACCTGATGACGCGCCAGCTGCTGGAGCCCGTCGGTGTGTTCTGGAGAACGGCTACTGAGGACACGCCCGCCCAGTGCTACGAGGCGGATGCGGCTGAGTTCGGGGAGAGGATCGCAGAGCTGGCCAAGGTGAGGAAGGTGATGTACTTCCTGTTTGCTTTTGCAGAAGGATGCAGCCCTGAGAGTGTCGACTGCTCCATCACCTTCATAGTGGACGCTTAAAAAGTGCAACGAACTGAAAGAACTCAAAGTTTTACCTTTCTTGTGTGATTAATTCAGTCATAAACTAGTTGGCCAAGTTATTTTATGAATTCAAGAACATTTGGAACCAAATTTGTTGTTTGCTTTTTATCTCTGCAGCCATTAATGATGGGAATAAATACAGTTAAATCAAATAACAGCTGCGTCCTGGTTTTATTTGAAGGGCTCATACACTTTTCCCACAGTAAAATTAAATACCCTATATACCCAACTGGTCCAAGACGAAAACACAAATTTCACAAAAAAAATATCCCTCAATTTCAATAACCTTGTTTACTGTTTGAAATATAAGATGAATAATAAGTCTCTGAGTCATTTGTAATAATTAATACACACTATATTGAAACAATTTAACCAAATGGTGTTAAGGTAAATGATATAAAAAACAAACAAAGAAAGTTAAAATAATTTTGGGAATGCCAACTGACCTAAAACAAGTCAGATTTAACTTCAGACAGTGAGAGAAACTTTATCTGTGTCTTTTTATTAGATGTATGAAAAAAATCCGGTTTCAGTTGTAAATAACATTTAGAAACTTTGGCTTTTAATGAATCATCAAATTGTACTTTGTTACAAAACTGTTCAAATTGAAAATCAAGCTTAATACAGAAATTCAGCACTTTCCAAACCTTGAAAATACCTAATAAAAATTTGAGACTTTTCAAGGCTTTCAGACGCCTGTATGATCCCTGTATTTGTCATTTCTTGGGTTGAGAGCTGAACCAAAATGTTCCTTTCTGACAAACATTCAGCCCTGAAGGGTTTGCCTGAGCCCGGTCCCACATGAGGAAATGCACAGAGACAGAGTGAGTATTCCCCAGCAGATGAGCAAGCCGCCACATAATGGTGACCCTGACAAACAGGAGGAAGAAGGAAGCTCGCTCCCTCCTTTTCCTCCCTAAGGCTCACCGTGGCTTCTACAAAACACCTCAGGCTCTGCTCAGGAACCAGGCCCGAGAGGCGCCTGAGAACATGTGAACGTGTTACAGATCAGGTGAATCTCAGCTCATTTCTTGTCAGCGATAGATTTTGTTGAAGCACAAGAGGCTGAGTCTGGTTTTACCCCAAAAAAATTTCAGCGCGCTCTCAGGAGTCCCAATTAAAACCGTCCCGCCTGCAGCCTCTGAATCCATGAATATGGATTATTGTTCGGTCTCCTCATTGTTATGCATCATTCTGCTCATTCTTGCATGTCACTTGTTGACCAAAACCCAAATTGGACCAAACAGGCTTGTATTTTAGCGGTGGCTGGGTTTTTTTTAGCTCGATGAGCGTAACAGTGACCAGGAGAGTGCTGCTTAAGTTTTCAGCAGTGACAATTGGTTTAGTAGAGCATCAAAATATTCAACATAGCAAATTATTCATGTCTGATTTAGGAGAAAATATTTATTGAAAGAATAGTAATAAATCCTCTTTATAGGTTTTCTGTATGGCTCCAACGAGTTATATTTGTATATTCACACTTTAATGACTAGATTTTATGATTATTAATAAGAATAAGAACGATACAATGTACGCAATATAATTATTATTTATTTTATAACAAAGTTGTTTTTAATTCTATGTCTACTGCTATTGGAATGCTATAAATAATAATGTTAACAATAATGATGTTGATATAATTTATATCAATATAAAATTAAAATTAATATAACTACAATAAATAATCACTGTTTCACAATAGCTGGCTTTATGTTTTTATGATGTAGCTCTTTGAACTGCCTTGTTACTGAAATGTTCGACACAAATAAACTTTAAATAAATAAATATTAAATTTTTATTGCAATTACATTCTGACAGTTTTTTTAATACTACTACTATAATTATTCTAATAAATAGAATGATAATGATAGTAATATCTTCATTACTATTATTATCACTATTATGATTGCAATTATTGCATAGAATAATTATTATTCTGATTAATTATTATTACTGTCATTATATTGCTGACAGCACATTGGCTGGAACACATTATCTCTCTTTTAACTTATTTCTAAAGGACTATCTCATGTTTAAATGTCTTCTGTTTCCTTTCTATGTTAACATTATTATTAATTTTGCCCTTTAGCGTTTAGTTTGTCCAAACCAAGTTAACAGCAGTAAGTAAAGCAGTACTATCAACAGTTATGACTGGGATTCTGTTTTCTGTTTTTAAAACAAACAAAAAAGTTTCTCAGGTTCTTTTTCTTCATGCAGTTTCGTCACGACATAACCAACAGCTGAACAGTTTTTTTCCAGCTTCAGGCGAAAGTTTCAACACCTCCTTGGAGGGCGTGAATGAGTTGAAAGTCAAATGACAGTTTGTCAGAGCGCTAATGGAAAGAAGAAACAAGATGTGCTTCTAACAGAATCTCATCATTAAGGTTTGTGCTTCATATTAAAATTGAAATCAGCTAAAACATGAGAGGTGGCCAGTTATGAATCGAGCATACGCTAATCTGTCTGCAGCTAAGTCAGAGTTTCACAGGGTTTATCCATCCATCTGTCACAATGCATTGTCACTCTTTCTCCATCCATCTGTACTGGCTGCTAGTCAGAGCAGTGTAAACAACCTTCTGCAGGTTACATCCTGATAAAAATCACATTTAGCCTAAGAGCTTCCAGTTTGTCCTCAGAGACTCCACACTATGCAAACAGGGAGGTGCTTTAGTGCTCTGATCTTTACATTGTCAAATAATGGTTGCTAATGGATACAAGCATTCATTAGAGGATAATTAAAACTGCACTTCAGCAAAGTATTGAGTTCATATATTGTACATCTTCAGAAATGTTTTCCCTCAATGTGTTTGTCATTAATGGAAAGAGACAGACATGGGATTATATCTATGTATTGTTATATATACTTTGCATCCAAGCAGCAAAACTTTGATAACCTTTTAAAATGTTGATCTTCAGGCTTCCTGATGGATCTCTGATGCTTTTTAAAGATGGTTTTCAAAGATACTACTTTGATACTTAACTTTTTTGTTGATCTGCACTTATTCGGTTTGATCATTTTTAAACTCACGCTATGGTGGCCCAGAAGGGCCAACAAAGTGCAAAAGCCATAATGAAACTTAAGCCTCAATGGAAGATATGTTAAAAAGGAAGTTAATGTAACTTTGTACTAATGTAACTCCATTTTAGTAAACTTTGTTGTAGCTCTCTTTTGCTATGTTGTTTCTGCTTGCTGATGCACGGTGGCTTTTATTTTTGTTGTTGCTTGTTGTTGTGTTTGTAGCTCTGTTGCTTTTGTTGTTGCGTTGTGGTTTGGCCACTGTTTCACAAATTAAAATGTATTATTTTAGTCACAGTGGTGCAGTTGGTAGCACTGTTGCCTTTCAGCAAGAAGGTCCTGGGTTCGACTCCTGACCCGGTGTCTTTCTGCATGAACTTTACGTGTTCTCCCTGTGCATGGTAGGTTCTCTTCAGGTACCCGGGCTTCCTCCCACAGTCCAAAAACTGTCTGTCAATTCTCTCTAAATTTTCCCTATGTGTGATTGTTTGTCTTGTCTGTCTCTGTGATGGACTGGTGACCCTGCCTCTCGCCTGTTGATAGCTGGAGATAGGCACCAGCACCCCTCTCAACCCCAATGGGAGGAGGGTGTAAGAAAATGGATGGATGGATGTTATAGTCACAACTGAGAAATGAACAGGAAATGATTGAAGCACTACAAAAAGTCCAAAGAAGAAGTTTGAGATATTTTGAAAAACTGTTCATAGATACAACTTCACAGGATTACAAGACTGCCTTGCTCCAGAAAAGTATAAAGACATTTTTGCATTAACTTTGTTAAGTTTGGCTTCATTTGAAGACACACCAAAACAGCATGAAGTTAAAGACCGCGTTCAGAGATACTTACTTTTTGCCACAGAGACTCTCTGGATGCTAGGCTGGAACAAGCTGCAACAAACCAGCAGTTGCCCAACTGTCCCTGATGTAGATCATGTGCACTGATGCCATCCACAAACAGGTGAGGGTCCTCACACAGTTCCTAAACACGGACAGAAAACACTCAATGATTGCGCCATTTATTCATGGAAAAAACCTTTCAGAATCTATTTTAATGACAGAAAACATTTCTCAAAAATGAAGAAACATCAGGTAATTAAAACAGATTATCAACAGTTACACAATTCAATACATTAATAAGCTTCTATATAAATATTCACATGTGATAATATAAATAAGTATACAGTACTTAAATGTTAATTCAATAAATAAATGCATTTTCTAACATTTTTTCTAAAAATAAAAAATAAAAAAATATTTAGGGTGCCAATGTTTTCAAATAAATATTTTTGAATATAATACAAACAAATACACTTATAAGCTAAAAGAAACATAATTAACCATTTTTTCCATCTATGTTATTATTTCATATTTCTGTTTAGCAGCATATCAACTCTTTCTATCCGTGAGCCTTAGTGGGCATGGTTAACACTGCTCTGGGCAACATGATTGCTCTGCAGCTCAGATGGTTAACCAATCGGTTAATGTGTTAGCATTTTGGTGAATGACGGTTAAGTGATTAAGTTATTTTAAGACAAACTATAGGATGGAGATTGAGAAATGTGAGGTAAAATACTGAAATACACAATTTTAAACATGTAATAAAATAAAATCTCACATAATTCTTTCAACATTTAATTATTTTATTGTGCTTTTAATAAACTTAAGAAACTTTTTCATAAATAACTGATACATGTGATACACACTGGTAGTTCCCCCCCCCCCAGTACACCAGCCTAATATTTAACATTTTTAAATATTTAAGTGTTAAAATAACATCAAAAGAAAAGCAATGTATGATTTTGGCTTTTGTTTGATTCAGAACTGTAATGATAAAAGCATATAAATAGATTATTGAGGCCAGTTGATAAATTAGAGACAGGCCATCTGTCCTCATGCACCGTCCTGTCACACTGCTGACCTTTTCCACAGGAGTGGGAGCTCAGCTTTGCATTTGTGAAATCACATTTCCTGCTGCTTCTGTGACGAGGTTCATTTTTCAGCCACAATATGCAACGACTGAGAGCCCTGAAAATGCACTCAATAAGCTGCTGAACGCTTACACCTACCCACATACATGGAGAGCAGAAAATATAACCCACACATACACAGACGCACAACCACGCTCCCCATG